GCCGGGCCCCGGCTTCCGCACCGGGCGCCCACCCCCTTCCTCGAGACCACCGTCTTCAGCCCGCAGAGCGTGGGCACGGGCCGCAGCAGGGACACCAGCCGCCAGCTCTGAACCCATCACGCACCAGTGCAGCACCACACACCGTCTCTCCCGCCCCGAGACGCTGCTCTGAGCGATGGAGCCCAAAGCCGTGGGCTGAATGGAGCCAACGGGCGTTTGAGAGGGATGGCCCAGAGACCGAGGGAGTTGTATCTGTGTGTGTGTGTATCTATACGTGTATCTGTACATGTGGGCATGACGTGCCAAGGCGCCATGGTCCCTCCCAACCCCACCACGCTGTGACTCTGTGGTACCGTGGAAGCAGACTGACCTGAATAATCAAGACTGGTACGGCAGGAGAAAACACAAGAGAAATGACGGAATCTTTTCTGCCAAACGGCGCACGGCGAAACAGCCGGGACTGGGGAGAGCAGGAGGGAAGAGCCAGGCGGAGGGGACAGGCCTGCAACGTCTCGGGGGGGTTTGCCTGGAAGGACAGAGACAGCGGAGCGTGAGGTCGCGCTTCTGAGCGAGCACAGACTCAGGACACACGTCGACGCTCTCTTTGGGGCGACGGCAGAACGCAGCAGGTGGGACACGACTGTAACTTCTCCACCCTGGGGCTCTCTCCGACCCATCTGCCACCGCGTTTCCTGCAGTTTTTGATACAAAATTGGCTTTTCAGGCATGTGCCAAAATGGTGAAATTGCAGACAGAACGGAAATAATATAAAAAGAGATAACTGCAAAGAACTCAGACAGCACGGACTATAACTCAACGCCGGAGCAGGAGGCTGGTACAAGTCAGTCCAGCAGGTCAAGCGCACAATTACGAGACTGATAGGAAAGGAGTCTGCAGGATGGAGCACAAAGCTCACCCAAAGAATAACAAGGCAGGTTCTTCAAGAAAGAGAAAAGAAACCACCGAGGACTCTCAGGACCACAACTAAGGATAAAAGTACACGTGTGGCTGGGAGGGGTTAATGAAATAATTTCCATATGTATAATTGTCATGAATGCGTAAAGCCGACGTTGTAATAAATAGGGTCTAGCTAGAAGCTGTGGTATGCACACAGGGCGGAGTGACCCCAGCACATCCAGCGCTGCAATACAGAGAATCACAGAATGGTTTAGGTTGGAAAGGACCTTGAAGATCACAGAATCACAGAATTTTCAGAGTTGGAAGGGACCTCTAGAGATCTTCTAGTCCAACTCCCCTGCTAAAGCAGGACTGCCCGGAGCACATCCCTCAGGACTGCATCCAGGCGGGTCTTGAAA